TCTGGTATAAGAAACATTGAGTAGAAAACAGAAAACTGTGTGGGGCAGACAACATGAAACAGCTGTGTTTTCAGCAGGAAGGTTCACAGTATTCAAAAGTGATCCCTCAGCTCTTCTTACAAGACAGTGAAATTGTGCTTCCCTGCTGATAACGAAATAAATAATTTTGGGAAAGATGGAAAAAAATTCAAAGGTGTAAATTAGAAAACGTAAAAAGAGACTACATATATAGACGACTCTACTATTCTCAGCTTTCCCAAGGCAAATTCCCTATATATTTCCTGGACAAGGTCTTGTTTAAAATGGTTGCGTAAACATGTCTTCCTGCAGTTCAATCTCTCTTCTCTCACACCTGCAGTGTGAAGAAGCTGATGTGTGGTGGGAAGAGCAAACTGAACCTGCTGTGTGCCAATGCTGAATCGCTTAGAGGCCTAAAAAAGCTTCTTGCCAAAAAAAAGCTGATGAACCAGTCTTACTTTAGGGCAGGTGGAATAGTTCGTGCTCTCATTTTTATCGTTAGCTCTAAAAGGGAAAGACAGATTTGTTTTCACATGGTTATTGATTATTAACCAGCTTTGTGAAAGGTTACCTTTCTGCTAGATAGAGCTATGGTGGGGGGGTTAAAAATCAATCCCTGGGAAAGGTCTCTTTCCCAGTCACCTTCTCCCACTGAGGTCCCTTGCCATGGATGGAGTTTACGCATGTTGGCCTGAGCAGAGAGAGAAAAGGAGGTTATTGTGAATATGCTCCACCCACCTTCAATACTTCTTTTCTGTCTAAATGTGGATTCCAGAAAAGGGTTTGAGCACTGGGAAGTCATTAAATATTATACAGATAGAGAAAATCTAACCAGACTACTTTATGAAGTGTGACTGAACTATACTCCTTACTATTTTACACTCTCATTAGACAGTCAGAGTGGTGGGAGGAATGACAAAACTGTCATCATTTATAACAGGAAAGGGAGCTAATTGACTAAGGGTTCACAAATTATTTGTGTTGAAAGGCAAACAAAATGCTCCTGTCACCTTTCCTAGGGGGAAAAAAGGTACTACTGCATCCAGATTTACATTTCACTGATCGAAGCAGCCTGCAGTGCTGTCTGTCAGACGCTACTGGGGAAGACTTCCACAGAACAGTGACCCACATCAAACCCTTGTATGAACCATTTGGAGGTGGGAACTTGCAAACGCCCTTGAATTTCAAGAGGTGTGTTGTATATGTTGGCATACATTTTAAAACCACATAAATATGACGCCAGGCAGGTGACCTTGCTTTCTGAACTCCTGGCCATCCAGAGATTTGTATTATATTGCAAAGTTTTAGGTTTCATATACTATGGAATGACTTAACTATGTAGATTGTGTCTTCTTTGTCAAACACCAGGCTAGAGGAATGTGATCAGATCTTGACAAGTCCTTAAAACATACTTCAATCTAATACGCTAACTCAAGTATTGAAGTGCAGCTATTGTGTGATGGTACTGCAGGACTGCAGCAGTTGTGTACCTGAAGCATTTGTTACTGCTGCTCAGATATCTGAGCTCCTGTGCTTGTGTTGAGGATAATTACAACATGCTGTTCTACTTAACACTGCTGCTATCACTATCATTCCTTAATTACTAGTACAGGATCATGGATTCCTTTTTGTCCAATCTTTTGGACTAGCAAGGTGACTATAAGAATTTCTGTTCATGTGTGCAAATACCTTAAAGGTGAGTATCAGAGGATGGGGTCAGACTCATTTCAGTGGTGTCCAGTGACAAGACAAGGCACAACAGACACAAACAGAAAAATGGAAAATTCCACTTGAATATGAGGAAAAACCTCCTTGCTTTGAGGTTTACAGAACACTGAAACAGGCTGCCCAGATAGGTTCTGGATATATTAAAATCTGGAGGGTGTTCTCAGCCTGAACTACAACTGTATTAATTGGGTTTTTGGGACCATGCATCAGACACACCAAGCTTTTCAGCTCCATGGATGAAGTTGGGGGATTTAAGCAAACATGCCAGCCATAAATATCCCCAAGTTATGGGGGATTTCTGCAGTCCTTTAAAACTTCCTAGAGCAAGTAAAGTACAGGATCTCCAGCTGAACTGCAGCATACATCCAGGTGGGGTTTAAGGTGGGAGGAATTCTACCTGATCCATTGATGATTTGTTCCTGTGTGCAACATGTCCATTACTTTTCTCTGTTTTAAATGGTTAAAACTTGACTGTACAACTATTAGTGGGAATAAAGATGTTTTTATCAGCCATTTTTTCTTTCCATGATTGCCTATAGACTGAGGATGGCCAAGTTGCTTGACATTCCAAGTCTCCCAAAACCAGAGTGGGAGAGTAAAGACAGGGAAATTCTCAGCAGGGAGAGGACAATGTATATACAGGAGAATCTGGGCTCACCATTCGAAGTCTGCAAATGAGCTAGAGGCAAGGATGCACCTTTTAATTTCTTACATTGAGCCAATATATCTCAAGGCTCTTCTAGTTGGAAGATTAAGACTGTTTAAAGGCAGGTAGCTGCAGGATCAGCAGTGTCTCACACGGCAGCACTTAATCTGGGGAACACTTCACTGCAAGGTGGTGGGAGGCAAAATGTTTACATAAAGTTTCAGGGGAGACTTAAAATGTGGAAAAATCAACTGAGGGCTACTACATTCATAGCACTCAGGAACTCCTTGGAGCAGAAAATTTTGGGAGTTTAGTAGAAGATGTTTCGGTGTCTTGTATGCACACCCTTCTGCAACTCTCTTAGGGATGCATATTGACCACTTTCAGGGGCAGATTTGTGTCTGCAGAGCCCAGTTCTGTGGCAAGTGGGGCCATTGGCCATTCCCATCATTCCCATCGGCCTCCTCCATCATTCATTTTCCACATCAAGTGGATCATTTCCCACTCCGGTGGGACTCATTCACTGCTCAGAGACTTCTCCTGGGAACCCTCAGCTGTGGAAGGACTCAAGCCAAGTATCAGTGATTGTATCCCAGGTCGAGGAGGCAGGCAGAGGTGATCCCTGCGATCTGTCTCCAGCTGGACTCATCTCCTCCAAGAACCCGGGCTGCCGGACATCAGCACCCCCAGGACGTGGCCGAGGTCCCCAGTGCCAGGATACCCAGCGGGGTCCTTTTACTGCACTGCAGCTCGCCACCTTGTTGTCAGAACGGCAAAGCGTGCCCTTATCGCCTGCTCATGCAGGCAGAATGAAAGAGAATTAGCTCTAAATTATACGAAATTCATTTGCTTTGGAGGGTGAAGTGTTTGCTCTGTTTAGAAACGTTCGTTAGAGAGAGAGGACCGCATTAAGACACCGGGTAATGGTCCTCCCAGGAGATGAATCAATTTGCTCTGGGTTTTATGGCCTCGGGTTTGTTTGTCCGCTCCGGTTCCCCGTGGAAAACCCGGAGCAGTAAATGCTCCAGGTAACAGATCTCTGGGGAAGGGGCTGTGAGTGTTGCTCTGGGGTCGGGGCACAAGACGTCTCCGGATGAAAGGACACCCGTGCCTGCAAGAGACCTGAGTGGACGCCGGTGGGGGAACCACCACGAAGGGAGCTGCGCCTCCCCACCGCCTCACACTGCGAGCCCCGCCGGGCCGTGTATCCTTCCCGGAATGCCAGGGGATGGAGGGGGCAGGTGCCGGGCGCAGGGAGCCTGAGCAGCAGCCATGTCTATCTGTAATTCCCGCTAATAAAATACTTTTTCACTATCCGCACTATAATTGGTTTACAGCCTTTTTTGTTTATTTATCCATAAGAGCTGCTGTTAAATGGCTTGGGAAAGCAATCGCTTAATGGCTCAATATTGAACCAAAGGCTCAGTGCGCTTTCTAAGCGATGCGGGACCCGCGTGAGTCCAGAGCGGAAACTCAGAGTGTAATGGACTGGGCAGGTTTATGATCCCATGGATCAGGGCACAGGAGCGAGGGACCGGGACCCTCCTGCCTCGCCTTTCGGGGCGTGCATCACCACTGGCCGAGTCGAGCGGGCCGGGCCACGCCGAGCCGAGCTGAGCTGGGCCGAGCCGAGCCGAGCCGAACCGGGCCGGGCCGAGCCGAGCCGGGCCACCCGCTCCCGCCCTACACAGGGCGGAGGGAGCGCACTCCGACGAAGGCAGCCGGAGCGCCGGCGTCGGGGAAGCGGAGGCGCGAGAAGGCGGGCCGGGCGGATAGGAAGCGTGCCCGCACCTCAACAGGAGAGACCGGCGGCCGGGCCGAGCGCAGGGAGGCAGGGAAATGATCTTTGTCCCTTTCGGTAGCTCTCCGCCTCCTCATAACCTCGTCACCAAGTCAACCGGCACCAGCTCGGAGCACATTATCTCCGAGGGTCAACACATTGCAGCCCAGGCCGCGGGGAAGGCTCCCAAATTTACCTCTTGGACAAACAATCCGCTGCCTATCGCTCGCTCTGGTGATAGCATTGTAGTCCCCCACCGGCCGGTGCTGGCCTTTTCCCAGGTCTCCGCAACACGGGTACCCCCGCGGGAGCGTCCTACCCGTCCCTGGACACCCACATCCCTAGGGGAGATGCCCTCACAGCCAAAAGTGCCCTGTCGCTAAACCCCTCCAGGAGCCGAGTTTACCCCGGCCTTCGGAGGGTTTTCCTCCCCGGGGGTCACTGGGGGATGAGCAGCTTCTGGGCAAGTGCGGGGGAGAGGGAAAAGATGACTTTAAGCACCATCCGTCCCGGAGCGTCCCGCGCATCAGCGCAGTCCCCTGAGCCCCTGCCCGGCCCCGCAAGCCCACCGCCGCGGGACTCCTCACCCCCAAAGCAGGGAGCAGCGCCCAGCAGAAGGGCAGGGGGTCTCGGGGTCGGCCCGGCTGAGGGGAAGGAAGGGGGCTGCGGGACCAGGGCCACTCCGGGTGGCCTCCTAGGGCCCGCGCCCCGCCCCGGAGGGTTGCGGGAGGGCTCACGTGGGGGAGAGGCGCCTATGGGGAGGCGGCGGGAGCCGGGCAGGGCGGTGGGGCCCGGCGGGGCCGCCAGCTGTCAAAGAGGCATCCCGGGCTCCGCCAGCGGGAGCTGCCTTATGTGTCCCTAAGCTGCGAAGCCCCCTTGGCCCCGCTCGCCATGAACACCGAGGAGCAGTATTACGCCTCGGCGCAGCTCTACAAGGAGTCGTGTGCGTTTCAGAGAGCCCAAGCGCAGGACTACAACCCCAGCCCCCCCGCCTGCCTGTACATGGGCAGGCAGCAACAGACTCCTTATTCCAGCGCCTTAGGGGCTCTCGAGCAAGGCAGCCCTCCAGACATTTCACCTTACGAGGTGCCCCCCATCACTGAGGATGCCGGGGTCTCCCACCTTCATCACCATCACCACCACCCTCATCTTCCTCCTCCCCACCAGGACGCGCTGCCTTTCTCAGACGGGGCGGACACGGGGGCTATAGAGGAGCCCCGAGTGCAGGTGCCTTTCGCCTGGATGAAGTCCACCAAATCGCACGCCTGGAAGGGACAGTGGACCGGTAAGCCCCGCCGCATCCCTCTGCCCACCCCCCCCCCCCCCCGCTTCTGTCCCACTCGGCACTCAGCAGCCCTCCCTTGCACCGGTCCTGCTCCCACCGCTCGGATGTATGGAGTGGCCCTGGGGGGTCGTTTCCCCTCTGACAGCCTCTGCAGACCCACTGCTCTAGGGCTGTTAGTGTTGGGTTGAACGCTGGGGAGAGAGCCGGCTCTCCACCGGCGGGCTCACCGCTCCCTGCGCCTCAGCAATTATTAACGAATTATTTTTCACCAATTAACTAATTGTGGCCAAGCCGGGACGTCGTGACTCCTCCCGGGAGCTACTTCCTCGGGCAGCACAGTGTCCCCGCGGGCGCGGTGAACTCCGAGCAGGGGCCGGGTGGCGGAGGCACCTGCGAGGTGGAGCGGGAGGGGAAGCGGCAGGCAGGGCAGGCGGGAGGGGACGGCCCCGCTGCCCCGCGCCCCTGCGCCCACCGTGCCCACCGTGCGGCCGCGGAGCAGCCCCCGAGCCCTCAAGGCAGCCGCCGAGACCCTCTCAGCTGCCTCTCGGCTCTCCCCGGCGCAGAACCCATCTCCCCTCCCGGCCCCTCTATCCCGCTCCTCCTGCTCCCCGGCGGGTTTTAGCCACAAATGCACCTCTCCGAGTGAAAAAAACAGGGCACGGAAAACAATGCACAAACGAAACAGAGTTGCCAGTGAGGGGAAGAAACTCTATCTAGGCAGAAAGTTCCGCTGCCCAACAATATTTCTGTCTCTGCCGGCACAATGTTATCGTGTCCTGCGCCTCCGTCACGCCTATACGGCAAATATTATATTAATGGCTTTGTTCAAATAGACAGTTGGAAAAAGGACCGGAGTATTAAAATCTCCACGAAATAGTTTGGGAATTGCATGGTGCAGGCCGAGAGGGAGGGAAAGACAGGTGGCGGTCCCTAGTCTCCCTAGAGGCGCATCCGCCCACAAAGGTAGAAGAGCGTGCTGTCCCAGCCCGCGAACACGGTGGCATGGATGGTGCCAGGGCGGAGGTGGGGACAGCGAGAGAGAAAATCAGATTGTTTTCCATGAGTACAGTAAATTTCGGGAATACTAATTCTAATACTACTAATAATAATAATACAAAGCCAAACTTTTGAACCACACCTTTTTTTCTTTTTTTTTTTTTCTCCTGTACCCGAAGAATGACAAAACCAGCAGGAAAGCGAAACTTTCCCCGTGGAAGCCTAAAATTCTTGCCTGTTGTCCCCAGCCCTCCCGGGAGGAGCAGGCAGGGGCTGTGCATGACCCGGTCGGTGTGATGTGTGCAGGGTTCCTGCCGGAGCACGCCGCAGGAAGAGAAAGGGGCACCGCGCTGTGCCGAGTGCGACAGAGCGCTCACAGCCAAACCCCGGCGTATTTTGTACCATGTATGTGGCAAACTATATGGCCCGATGATTTATTTTTCATGGAAGCCCTCGGGATTTAGGCGTCCATGGAGGCTACCGGGCTTTGCACTGTTGCCAGGAAAAGGCGCCCAGGGAGGCCCGGCGAGCCCGGCCGGTGCCACACGCCGTTCCCGGTCCCGGGCTCTGCCGCTCACCCCGGGCTCATCGGCCTTGTCCCGGGGTCCTGCCGACCTCGGCCCTCCGACAGACCCCGGACGTTCCGCTCCAGTTTAGATTAAAGTAACAGAACAAAGTTGTTTTTTCAGATACAAACTCATGCATGCATAGGTTTAGATTTGCCAACATTTTTATACATATATACATTGGTTTTAATATTTATTTATATAGCACATAGGTATATACACATCACTATGCAAACATTAAGTGTATTTAAATATATATTTTAAATACATACATAAGTTTTATACATAGGTTTACATTTATATATTTCACTGCATATATAAATACAAAATCATGGGAATAGGAAGATGAACTGTGGGAGAGTCCAGGTATCTCTCTTGAAATTATTATTTCATTCTGGATGTTTAAAGCACCGTTCCCCGCAGATGGTATCAACCCCAAAAACGTTCTCAGAGGGGCGCTGGCACTGGCAAAAGCGGCCCTGAGTTTCCATGGCCACCTCCGGCCCCTCTCGATGCGCCCACCCGTGCTACCCGCGCCCCAGTGTCCACGCAGGACTGCGGCGGCCGCTCTGGGAACGGCCATCCCGCCGCTGCCTCTTTTTACAGGAACAAGAAACCCAAGGTTTCATCAACGTGCCGAAATGGAGCGGCTGCGGTTCAACTCCCGGCCCGGCCCGGGAGGCCCACTAATGATAATAATTATTATTGCTTTCTTTTAGAGGAGTTTCTTTGGTGTGTTGGACTTTTTTTTTTTTTTTTTTTTTTTTTACGGTTTTTTGAGGGGTTAAATTTTTCCGTTTTGCTTTGGTTTTTCTATGTCTTCTTTTCTTACTTTTTTTTTTTTTAATTATTTTTTAAAATTTATTTTAACGTGAACCTGAACAATTGCGGCCCTGGATCCGGGAGCGTTTCTGAGCTTTCAGTGTCACGCCAACGGTGGCACATGAGTTTCTCCCTCGGCTCCAGAAACGGCGCTTCCCTGAAAACCTCATCAAAATCATTGCTAAAAAATATTAAATTTTGTAAAATAAAATAGCAGCAGCGGTCACTGCCGCCAGCAGCACCACCTGACTCTGCCCAGCAGGAGAGCTCCCCGAGGCCTCCCCATCACCCCGCTTGCTTCCCCCCCGCGTATCCTCCGCGCCGCGCAGGGGTCGTGGGACGTGGTCCCCGCAGCCCGAGAGGGCGGTCGGGCTGTCCCAGGCTGACTCTCGCTTCTCTCCAGGTGGATCCTACATGGTGGAACCGGAGGAGAACAAGCGGACGAGGACGGCGTACACGCGGGCGCAGCTGCTGGAACTGGAGAAGGAGTTTCTCTTCAACAAGTACATCTCCAGGCCACGGCGGGTGGAGCTGGCTGTCATGTTGAACTTGACCGAGAGGCACATCAAGATCTGGTTCCAGAACAGGAGGATGAAGTGGAAGAAAGAAGAAGACAAAAAGCGAGGGGCGGGCAACAGCAATGACCCCGAGCAAGACTGCGTTGTGTCCTCCGGGGAGCTGCAGACCAAGGAGGATCTCCAGCCGTGCCCCGCCGGGAACCTTCCCTCGGGAGCCTCCAGGGACCTTCTCGCCCCCAGCCTGGCCCCCAGAAGGCAGCAGGACTCTCGGTGAGCCGCGGGGAGCTCCACGGCCCGGGACGAGGAAAAGGATGGGACGTGGAAAAGAGCCGAGAGGCTGGCGCCAGCTTCTCTGTGCCGTGCCGTGCCGTGCCGACCCACTCTCGCCTTCCCTCGGGGAAACGCGGGGCCTTCACTCCGAAACCCGCGTCCTCTGGAAAGTAAATGTAAGGTGCCCAGCTGTGACAAGGAGAGGTTCGCTGCGGGCGCTAGCGCCGGACGAGGCCGCGGGGAGCTGCCGGGATGGCCCCGCTCCCCCGGGCCGCCCGCGCCTCAGCGAGCCCTACGGGAAAGCTTCCCCCGGGGAAGGTGGGTGTCAGGTGGCCACCGACGGTGTGTGCCTGCCTGGGTGCACGGAGAGGTCTGGAAACAGGAGGAGAAGCGGGCGCTCGCTGCCTTCCCTGCCGCCGACAGCCGCTCGGTCGGAGCGCGCGTCCCGCCGCGTCCGGCGGCCCGCAGGCGCGGACACGGACCCGAGTATCCCGGACCATCCACGGCTGGCACGCCGCCGTCCCTGTCCCTTCCAACCCCCCAGGGCATCGGCGCTACCGGGGACTCTCTCAGGACTGTTACTTACTTCTTTGGAAAGTGGACCTCGTTTCTTTCGTTTTCTTTTGCTTTTGGGAAAGAAAGACAGGGGGAAAGAAAAAAAAAATTAAAAAAAAAATTAGAAAAGAAAAAGCCCACGTGTCCTACCTATGCCCGATGACCGGCATAGGTAGCCAGACCCTCCTCCGGGCTCCGCCAGCTGCTGCGGGGACCCTGCGCTGCTGCCCGTGGCTCCGCGCCCGTCTGGGCTCCGCGGGACTCCGCGGCTCCAGGGCTGCGCTCGCCTCTTCCAGGGGTGAATGCGAGCCAGGGATGCAGCAGAAAACGTCGCGGGTGCTCTCCGGGCAGCGAGCAGACAGCGAGATATATCTGGGGAGGGGAGGGGGTAGGGCTGGTCCCAGGGACATTGTCCTTTGGGAAAAAGCTCCTGCCTCTCTTCCAACTCTTTCGCAAGCTCGGACTCTGCCTTGGAGAGGAGAAACCTCTCTGCAGCACGAGCTCCTATCCCGGCGAGGCTCTCTGCGTGGTTTTCCTCCGCAGACTTTTCCCCCCAGTAGAGGCTGGGGGCCGGCTGCCTCCCGAGGCCCTGCAGAGCACCGGGGGCTTTCCCTGGGTGCTATTTTTCGGGCCGGGCCGGTGTGCAGGAGAGCTCGGCTCCTCCGGGCTGGAGCGGGGAGAGAGCCCGGCCGGGGCTTCCCGGCGGGAAGACGGGCAGCGGAGTTCGTGCCGGCCGCCCCCGGCCCAGCCTGCTTTTCCTGCTTCCAGGAACAGCTTCCCCCTCCCGACAACGGCGGGACTCCAGCTAAGTGGGGAGCAATCCACAGCCGATCTAGAAATAGAAAACCAGTTGGAAGGAAGCGGGAGCTGCCCGATTTGCTGTCGGTCAGGCAGATCTGCCTTCTTTCCTCGACAGGGATGTTCCTGCCCCGTACGCGGCAGCAGCAACCCTCGAGCATCCTTCGGGGACCGCCGCAGGCTCTCCCGCGCTGCGGGCACGGGAGCGAGTGCCATGGGAGGAGGAAAATGAGGACAGCCTGTCGCACCCTGGCCAGAGGATGTTCCCAGTCCCTCGGCTGAAAGCGACGGGAGATCAACTAGCTTGGCACAGGTCTTTGGGATTTTCTCGTTTTACATGGAACTTCTAACACTAAGGTGGAAACTTGAACTGAAGGTGTATTTTGTCTATTGTTTGGTTTTTTTTGTTTGGTTTTTTTTTTTTTTTTTTTTTCCTCTGGGGACATTACTATCTGTGTGCAAACAGGACTATTTCTGGTAATTTTCCCTGCAAGTTTCCTGAGAAATTTATCATCTGAGCCTGCATATCCTTATTCATCAAAATGCAGTCAATGAATGAGAACTGTTACTAATCATTATATGAGCAAAATTCAAATAAAGCTGTTCTGCTTAAGAAGCAAAACACCGTATTAATTAAAGTAATATTTCTGAAACTTTTGGGGGACGTGAAGCCATTCTTAAACCTCAGAACTTTTAATCGCTATTCATTAGCATTAACCTTTCACTGGTAACATGAAGTGGAACAATTTACACGTGCCCTTTACAGTGTCTCCCACAGACATTACAATTCCGGACCCACTGTAAAAACAGATCCAGCTGAAGAAAGGATGTTTTTCACACAAAATACCTCGATTTTATTCTAAGATTTGTTGAGTACATTGCCTGCCTGTCCTTTCTTTAGTATAGTGCATTCAGTTTTGATTATCTTCGTGCACAAAAGAAAACAAAAAATGTGCACAATTAATGCAAATCACATGACCATGGTTCCAAGGTGTTTTTATTAGTAGAAGCAGAATCAGAACTGCATGGTTTAGTTTTAATGAATAAAGTATTTTTCTTCTAAGAGCTGACATAGTTTATTTCTTTAGCACTTACATTTATATATATATATATAATATATATATATATATATATATATACACCCTTTTTACAACTTCACCAATGGAAAAATTAACATTAACTAAATCAAGACAGCTCTGGCACCTGTAGGGCTAAAGATTCACGGCAGCTTCACCTGACAGAACAGCCAGCCCTACACAGTGCTGGGGAAAGGCAAGGCTGACATGGAGAGTTATAAAGCCACTGAAGTTCTTGAGCCATGTCACCTCACCAAAACCAGTTGTCCAGATATATTCACATACCTAGGAGACATGTCCCCTTATGAAATAGCTTATGATATATTTGTAATCACCTTTAACCCTAGGAGAGAATATCCATAAAACATTCTCAAACTACTTTTAAAATTAGACATGAGATAATGAAGTGTGAGACATCTTTTTATATCTTTCTTGGGCAATAGGGAAATCATTTAGGCAGGTGTGGGAGAAGTATGTCCCCAAAAATTGTATATGTTCAGTGTTAATTATTTTAAGGAAAAGCTGAGCAAGATTTAGCACAATTTTCCTGTCCCTGGGTGTACCTTGCCATGGCATCTCTCCCATCGGGAACTATGGAGACATCAGTTCTATCTGTGGCTTCAGGCAAGATAGTGAGGCTGTGAGTCTTTTGAGCTTTGCAAACGCAACACCTTTGCTGCTCCTACTTTGCTCAGATCCATCCCCCAATGCTGCAGGGAAAGTGTTCTTGTCCTGCTCCTGCCATCCCATGAAAGACCACAGGGCAGGACCTCTCCTTCCCCCAGGCAGGGCTGAGCACCAGAGGTGAAAGGCGCATGGCTGGGCAAACCCTGGCAGCAGCTCAGGGCTGTCACACCAGGCCACAGTCTGCTGCCCACCCTGCCTCCCTCACCAGCAGGGCCATGCCCCACAGTCCTGCAGCAATGGCCATGTGAAAAACAGGATTGCAAGACTATACTTGACCCCTCTATTACAAACCTATATTTTCATCTGACAATCTCTCAAATTTATGGATAATTACACCCATAAACCAATACTGAAAGCAATGATTTTAACCTAAGGTGTGAAAGCCTTTCCAGTCAGGCACTGAAGGCTGCTACCTCCTACTTTGAGGTTGCTGCCACAAACACAGCTGAAGAGAGATGTTGCAGGCTGAGAGATGAAATATTGCTCAGAAAGGCTTTGCTGCTTTGATGTGCAATCAGGAATGGGATGCCAGCCCTGCAATCACCACTCGTGGCCTGGGCAGTGCACCTCCTGATCTGTCCTCCACACAGGGCAGAGGTGGCTGAGGGCTGTGTTTTGTTTCAATGCTTGTTTTGGGAGCAGAGAGAAATGCCATTGTGCTCCCTTCACTTGTTATAGCTTAGAGACACCTTTACACATTGGCATAGACAAGCCATGCAAACACACACATGGCTTCCAAAAAACTGACTCAGAAAGTCAATACCTTTACTGCTTTCTTTTTCCCTGGATGGGGATAAAAATGGCCAGGTCTTCAAGGATATATTTTATAGCAATCAGGAAGAAATCTAGGGAGGACAACGAAATGAAATGAAATGAAATGAAATGAAATGAAATGAAATGAAATGAAATGAAATGAAATGAAATTAAATTAAATTAAATTAAATTAAATTAAATTAAATTAAATTAAATGGAGGTGAAATGACAATGAAATGTGGAAACCCTCCAGTGTCTGTGTTAGTAATGAATGCTATCTACTTTTACCTACCCACTATTTACATTCATTTAACATTTATCAACACTGCTCCTGTCTCACTGGCTTCCAGCACCTTTTCCATGCACTATGCCAGCACCAATGTGCCCCTGTAACGTTTTTACTGCAAGTGCAAAAAACAGTGGAGCAAAGAGGAAAGTGCTTGGAGGCAAGGCTTCTCCTAATATTTGCCTTTCTACATCTCCTCTGCTCCCACCATTTACTGTCCTGGTATGCAACTCCTCTGTTCCCCAGCACTTTTGGGATCACAGTATATGCAGGAACAAATACAATGCAGAGGAAATGAGCTGAGTGCCTCTCTCCCTAACATGCCTCAGTGATGAATCAGGCCTGGCCAGCCTCATTCATGGAGTAGGAAACTCAAACACGTGGTTCCCCTACTATAAGGTCTGACGCACTTGCTGCCTCATATCAGGGCTTGTTCCAGAAATCGTTTGCTTCCAGCAGCAGCACCACTGCAAGGAGGAGAGGCTGCACTTGTGCTTCTTCTGCATGAGCTGCTTTTAGGCATATAGACAGGAGCCCTCATGTCTGGTTTCATCCACCAGTATTCACTGGTCAAAAGAGGCAGGTGCCTTTTCAAACAGGCATATAGTTCACAAAAAAATCCAGAAATAGATTGAATGAGAAGAAACTCTGGACATGTAGGTGAGATGGACCAACAAGGCAAGAAGATTGCAATGACCACTGCAAAAGCAAAGCATTTGCTAAGGAGCATTGGCAAAGAAGGAGTTGCTTGGCTTTGTCTCATAGTACAGTACAATGGCAACAACAAGCTGCTGACAGTGGCAGCTTCATTTTATCCCTGTTCTTTGACCCAGACCCAGGAGGAGAAAAGCATCTACTCAAAGAACCCTTGGCAGAGTGATTTAAAATTCAAAACTAAAATACATCCATCAGGCTCAGAAAGCAGAGGGTGCAATGGTTTGTGTCTTCACTCCCAGGGCTAGACTTGGTGGTGGATACTGGAAGAGCTGTCTTCAAGAGCGATTGGTAGCACTCTGGTGTTCTGTTTGAGCACGGGCAGTGTGTGCCATTATATATTCAGCTGTGCCTGCTTTGGACATTCCCTGCAGACCTCAAAGCACTGAGCAGAGGCAGACCAGGATTAGTGACTCCCCTGCTGTAAGAAGAAATCAGAAACAGGGCATGGAGCTCCCATTGGAGAGAACTTGGCAGACCAAGCTGTTTCAGGACCAAGGTGGAGCCATGGGAGGTATACCAGGTCCTGGACTGTGCAGACACTTGTGTTTGAACACTACTTCCCTGGGCCCAAACCCTTCTCCAGAGAAAAGCAAACAGTTACCTGTTGGGAGCCTCAGCTGGGTGCGGCATCGCAGGGCTCCGAGTCATGTTTTGAACACAAGCCCTCCTGGAGAGGAGGCTGCACCTCCCTGCAGCAAGCAGTAGCAAAGCAGCCCCCCCTGCATTCTGGCTTTTAACAACTTTTCAGTGCAGCAGCTCAAGTCCCTCTGATTCAAACACACGCCTCTCGCTCCCTGCCAGGATTC